TCAATTCACTTTCCGCGTTGTTTCATTTTTCAAATTGTTGCCACCAAATATTAGAGCCCAGTATTGTATTTAAAGAAATTAAATAATGAAGAATTTGCATAAATTTTTGTATGCTTCTCGCATTGTTATAAAACAACGGTGCCTAGAGCCATCAAATTTTGAATAATGTAATCTTTCACCGAATATGGGCATCTGGTAGCCATAACTTTGAATTTTGAATTTGTTTTATTATCAATTTTATATTTTTTAAAACTTTAACGAATTTTTGATTAGCAAATTCAAAGATTTAAAAGCGAGCAATGACAACACTCTACGGGAGGAAAAAAAAAAACTTTTTATCTCCAGCGCGCGGAACTGTCTATCAGAAATTCTAAAGATATGCTCATTTTAAAATCATTTTTCGACATTGCTATTGAACTGAATTTTATGGTTTAAGTGGAAAGAACATGATATTTAATAAAAAAAGGGGTAATACACAAAACGTTAAAAAACGCCCCTTTGACGTAATTTAAAATCTGAAATCTTTCAGATGTCTTTTTTTCCCGCAGTGGACAATTGGGCAATTGCTAAGAATAGATCACATAGTGCAATGTAGCATAACATTAAGAGAAAGGCAGGATAAAATATTGTTGCCACGCTGCCCGGCCTTAGAATAAAGGATATTTATTACTCAGGAAAATACCGAAGGTTTTGAAACATCCAAAAGTAAAAAAGTGTTCTTTTGATGCTGTGTACGGAGAAATGGTAAAATGAACACAAACGACAGCAGGCATATTTGAGAAAGGTGTCACCACGAAGTGCGATGCAACTTTCCATACGTATAGTGTCATGGTTTGCATAATATTATCGAGCAGCTGATCCCACTCGTCTCTCACTGCACGGATGAGGCTGTTCTTGTCCGTCGGAGGATATTTTTGAGAAGCAAGTGGCCTCTCCAAAACATCCCAAACATTTTCAATGGTGTTTAGATCTGGGATGCGTGCTAGCAATGGCGTCAACTATTCTTTTTGCCAAGACAATCCTCAGTAAAAAGTATTCGATGACAGGGTGTGTTATTGTCCATGAAAATATATTTATCACCAAAGTACCACAGTAAAGGCGAACAAGAGGCAGTAGAACTTAATCAATGTATCGTTGGCCGACCATAATCTCAGTCGCAACAACATGTAGAGTCTTATGACCAATACAACCACATGCATTGATCATGAGACGGGCTATACCCTGATACTGCATCTAGTTGTTGTTTGAGATCGTCCTCCCTCAATCCTAACAACTACTACGATGAACTAATAAGATTTCAATGCATTTTGTTTTTTGCTTTTCTTTTAACTGAGAACAGAAAATAAAATATTCTTTCAACTACGAAATTTGAAATTATTAGACTAAAAGCAGACAGCGAAATCATTAGAATGTTAAACGGAAAAACTAATTTTTCGCGATGAGTATGGATTTTTAACTTTTAAAGGCATCTCCTTCCTTGGAGGTAAAAATATTTTCATAATTCTATTGATCAAAAAGTAATTCTCAAAAAAATTATAAAAATGTACGTTCGATTTTAATGTAAATAATTCCAGAATTTACAAAATTAATAAAAAGCCAGTGTTGCTGCTACAGACTGTTGTCAAGAAAAGCACAAAAGTCAAACAAATTATTTGACTGCAAACGAACTAAAAGGAAACACGTTTCTTGGATTTGACATCGCTATAATAATGACAATCTGGCAAACATGAAGTTACGGATTAACAGAGAAGAATTTAAAATTTTTTTTTAAATTCAAAGTTCATGCACTGACTGTAGATGAAATGGAAATGAAAAATGATTTTCTGTAATGACGATAAAATAATATCGATGTCGAAATTCTTGCCTGTAAATAAGGCATATCAGTAATCATTGTTATCGTCTAAGTGGAATTTCGATAAAAATGCTCTCAATTTAGTATGCCGGCCGACTAAAGAAAAATTACCCATGCAGTATAAACTCGGAGATAAAATTAATAGAATGTACTTATATTCTACAGCAAACATTTCTTGAAAACTTAAAACTGGTGTAATAATTGTTCAGATCGATACCAGAAAAAGATTGTTTTTCGGACATAGCCCTCAGTTCCTCTTTATTAAAAAATCTGATATGTACACCACATGATTTCCTTGTACGGAATATTAAATTATACGCATTTTTTCTTGCACTTCATTTAAACTTATTGGATTAAATTAAATCTACTTCGCCGACAGCGCATAAACCACAATAGAATAAATGCATTCTTTAAAATTCACTCTAATATTTGTTTACCATAGCAACACTCTGGCGCTAGATTCACTTAACAGTATTATATTTCGTTCATATTATAACTCATAATCCACAAAATTTATATCATTTAAAAAATAGAATTATCTAATCATTGTCACATGTTTTATTCAAATACTAAAATAAAGCTAGAATGATGTATAAAAGAAATTAAGCAAACAAAACAAAAAAGAAACAGTTTTTCACAGACGACTGAGTATTTCTCATTCAATTAATTCAGTTCTCACTTCGCGAGAAGGCAAAAATACATAAAAATTCAAAATATCTATATTAAAAATTACGAAGTAAATCTTAAACACTTATTTTCTCGAAAACATTCCAGAAAGGATTAAGCATGATTTCATTCGCAATAATAAATGAAGGCGTTATCTTTGTTGTTGCGAAGCTAAATTTCTCTAGATTGGCAACAAATCCACTAGTCTGCTGTTTCAAATGTAAACAATCAATGGCCGCCATAAAAAAAAAAAAAAAAAAAAAAAGGTTTAGCGGCACTTAAACAACTTTAAAATTAATTCAGAAGTCAAACATCTCACATCAACAGAAGTCATGACTTCTGAATTAGTATTTCGGCGTGTTATTGTGTCTTAACTTTAAAATTGTTGATAATTTTAAAATAATTTGCATACAGATTTACTAAAGTCATAAAAACCTTAACCAGAAGATAAAAACAACATAGTTCAATCATTTTTTAAAGCAAAAAAATGTACAATTTACAAACATATAAGAGTAAAGAAACTGAGATCACTGAGCCGGGTAACAGAGTGGATATATATATAAATATATTTATATACGTTGGTGCGGCCGATTGCAACCAAAATACGAGGTGCACATCTACATGTTATAGCAGTCCTACATACGAAATTTCAACGTTCTGGAGGCTACTCGTTTTGAGTTATGCGAGATACGTACGTACGTACACATACGTTCGTACAGACGCCACGAAAAATTCTGTTCAGAATTCATTTTAAAGCAGTTTTATTTTATAATTTTTTTGGAGGAAACGAGTCTTTTTTCTGTGCTTATGTACAGATATTACGCAAAAACATCGTTAAATGGCATTCGATAGCGGTCAAAATGGATATTTTCGTTGAAATATGCTGTGCCTGAAACTTTTCGCGATTACAATACTTCCTTTTTACTTCGTACAAGGAAGTAAAAATATAGTCCTTTTTAAACCTTTTCACATCCTGATCCTTTTCTGAGAGCATCGATGCTTGAGACACTTCAATCTCAGCTCATTAGCATGGAAAATAACATGAGAAGCGACAGTTGCTTCCGTAAGAACAAGAAATATCCTCACGCAAGAAACACCAAAAATCAATTACGTTCCAATTAAATGTAGAGATGTCCGAGTTGAATAATTACCCACATTAAGGTTAGGGAAAAACTGGCTTTGCAGCTTTTCCTGATGAAATAATTGAGAGAAGAAATGCTTGGCTTTTTTTTTTTTTTTCATTTTTTTCCCGAATGCGTAAGGGCTAATTTTTTCAATCGACGATATCTTTGACAAATTACGTCTCGCCCCAAAATGCAGTAGATTTGGAAAGTCAAGACTGTCACGTTGTTCATGGTAAGAATGCATGATGTGCTTTGTAATTTATATTTACAGATGAGTAATGGTGATTAAAAAACGCGAGCTGGATGACATTCGGTGAGATGGAATGGATGATAGTGCACCTCATGAAATATAGATAAGACTGTCCTTTTAAACCTTCTGTTGCTAGGCGTCTGTCTCGAAAGAGTTAGAATATATATCCAATGATATATCCAATTTTCATTTCTTTATGCATTTAACTAAAACCGTATAAGTAAACAGCATTTTATTTATATTCTGTTTTAACATTTTCATCTGCAGCTAATGCCTTTGCTGCTTCATTATTTTTAAACAGCTGATAATTGCCTAGTTTTCAATGGCTTAATTCTTTTGCGTTTAGAAACCATAATTAAGAACAGTTTGAAACAGATTTCTTCGTCCAGACTAATTGTAAAAAGTAAATGTGGAATAAAAGATAGGGATGCAGGAATGCTGATTACGTTTTACATGCAAAGGCATGGATTTGAGGAATTAAGCTATTAGAGCATAATGAACGCTTCAGTAATTACATATTTTTTGGATTTTATATTTGCAGAACCTTTCTACCTGAGCGCTGAAACTGCTTTCATAAACTTCATCATGCTGTTTTAAAAAACATAACTAATTTATATAGAACGAATCAATTTTAGGAACTTTAAGGAAATAAAAATAGTAACCACTTTTTTCGAATTGTTTGCCAACAACATCCTTATTAAAATATAATCATGCATGAAACTTCGTGACACGTTTGGTTTCTATGTCGTTTATTCATTATTTTCTTAACAATGACAAATAAATTGAACAATGATAAAGGTCTAACTGTACGTTCTTCAACCGGGAGAGAATTTAGACCTCTACCGCACAGACAACAAAGTGATGAACCACGAGATAGTGACTCCCTTATCACAGGGCCTGGGTTACTAATTCAAATCTATACACGTAAACTCGATCTTCATCATGCATTTTTTGTAAGCATTTAAAAACAGGTGAAGTAACATAAATTTTAAATTGCATACGTGTTGAAATTTTAAACAGTCTCTTTAATGGCCTGTGAGATACAAGTGCGTATTTTAAACAACACTTATAGCCTGTGTGTTATAAATAAAATGAAAACAATACGATATGACATATGAAACAAGCAAATTTTTATTTACATCAAATCAATATATTAATAACAAAAACAAGATTCAAAGGGTACTGTTATCACGAGATCTATAAATTACTCCTCGGCTTTTCAATTCACGGACGACGTGTGGCTCCAGGCGACCACCGACAGAGATGGCGTAAATACCCTTGGCATTACGACCTATGGGAAGAAGAAATAGTTTAATTAATTTGAAGTATTTGAAGAATAATATGAATGTAGGCAGCTTCTTCAATAAAACCAAAACGAAATTTTGAGTTGCTCTCATTTTGAAAGTTTTCAACCCTATTTTCTTTCTTCAGCAGTTGAGAAAAGAATAGGGTCAGACTAATAATAAGTGGAGACAGATATCAAGAAAAGGGGAGGAGAAGGAAATTAAAGACTGAAAAAACACATAATATTGGACGAAATCAAACGTTAGAACATTTTACAATCGTACATCATTAGGTACTAACAAGAGAAATTATATATGTTTTATTCCATCCAGTATTGCTTCTGCTCGCTTTCAAATCATTGAGTTTGTTAATTAAAGTTTTACAAAATATGAAATATAAAATTCGAAATTCAAAGTTTGATGGTCCTAGGTACTAGCATTTTTCACATATCAAGGTACATACATACATGCAGATTCTTCATTATTTAATTTCTTTAAAAATAATACAGGGCGTTAATATATGGTCGGAACAATTTGAAAAATGATACAGCCATTTATAGTGGATGACGTAAAACCCTCTTTTGCAACTAAGAGCTCATTTGGGCTAATAAAACAAGGAAGAAATTTATATTTATTTTCTATCTGAAGTCTAAAGGTTGATACAGGTGTAACAAAATTCTCACCTCTGATAACCATACGTGTATTTAGAGAACTTCCTGCTTCCCAGAGAGTAATTTTCAGTTAATTATCTGCGGAAATGCGTTAAGGAAATCCCCTGGGCGGTTTCCGGGCGAAACTATCATTCCTTAAATTGGTAAAAGGTATTGATAGAATTCTAAAATGAGCTTAATTAATTTATGACCTTTAGGCAGGATAACTGAGAATTTACTGTTACGACTGCAAAAAGGGCTTAAACCGGCCAGGCCGTATATGGGGAAGATTGTGCGTCTGACATGACCAACTCATGATTAGATGAACGACCTGTGAGATATAATCAGCGTATCACAATGCGAATGTTGGCAGTGATGGTGGGGGCCAGCGTTGGAAGAGTGTGGACAATTGTGCATGATAAGCAAAAAGTGTGCGCGCAGTGGGTTCTGAAGAAACTCAGCGAACCGCAAAAGGAGCTGCATATGGGGCTAGCACTGCAACACTTGTTCCGGTACCATGAAGACTGCACTTTCCTGGACCATTTCGAACCAGAGACAAAGCGATGCAATGAAAGCATGCGTCGTCAGCTCCACCTAAAAAATGCAAAGCTGTGCCCTCAGCAGGCAAGGTGATGCTCACTGTCTTTTCCGACGTCCGAGGTTCAATACTTATCGAATTCCTTAAGCACGGAAAAACCATCAAAAGCGACGTAGCCACTCCGTAGCCTACGCAAATCCATCAAGAGCAAAGGGCCTGGGCTGCTCAGGGAGGGAGTGATTCTGCTCTACGACAAGCGCGTTCACACGTCTCCAAGCTCACACAAAGTGTAATGGTCAAGTTCAAGGTGGAAGCAGCTTGAACATCCGCCGTACAGCCCAAATATGTCGCCCTGCGACTTCCATGTGTCTGGTCCCCTGAAAAAACATCTCAAAGGGAAGCGCTTCAACTCAGACAACGAACTGAAGGACACAGTGCAGGACTGGCTCCTGTCACAGCCACAGGAATTCTGGGAACAGAGAATCCTTCAGCTCATGAAACAGTGGGATAGTTGTGCTCAGGCATGTAGTGATTACTTGTGAATAAAGACTTCAATTATACCCCTAGTGTCGGTTCGTGCCTTTTCATTTGAACTACCCTCATACGTAGTTAAAATAACCTCATTTGAATAAAATATATAGATTTTTAAAATAACAACTAACGAAGCGTTAGATATCTAAAAATCCAATTTCAACCAATGCCACTGTCATACGTGAGACAGGGAAAGAGTGAGAATAATTCCTTCCCGCCATTTCAAACAAAATAACTATATAATTTTTCCTTGGAATAATTTCTTTTTTTATAATTTTCAAAAGTGGTAAACTAAATAGTTATATTCCTTAATTTAAAATATTTTACTGAAATTAAATTCATTTGAATAAAATATATAGATTTGTAAAACAACAAGTAGCCAAGCATGCGATATCTAAAAATTCAATTTCAACCAGTGTCACTACCATACGCGTGACAGGGAAAGAGAATATACAGGGTGTTTATAAAGTCCCGGACCCATTTTGATGTTTAATAACTCATAAAATAATAAAGGTAGATTAAAATTAATAACATAAATGGTTAGATAGACTCAAAAAGTTTCATGACCCTTGTCAATGAACTTCCACGTGTGCCCCCTTCGTCGCAAGGAGAATATCAAGTCGATATTCAATTTCACGCCAGGTACCGGCAAGCATGTCGGCATCCACAGAGGCTATTGCGGTTGTAATTCAGGCTTTTAGGTCATCAATGTTCGACACTCTTCTCCTGTAAACGTTGTCCTTTACAAATTCCCAAAGGAAAAAGTCCAGCGGCGTTACATCAGGTGATCTGGGTGGCCAAGGAATTGGACCTCCTCGCCCAATCCATCTTCCTGTAAAATGGTCATTCAAAGAACTACGAACGATGGTACCCCAATGAGGTGGTGCACCATCTTGTTGCAAAAGGACATGTGGCTGAAGTTCTTCTAGTCGTGAAAATACGAAGTTTTTCAACATGTCTAAGTATACGACTGATGAGACCGTCTTTTCTGTAAAAAAGACAGGCCCAATGACTCGCTCGTGCATTAGTCCACACCACATCATTAACCTTTGGGGAATCCGCTTGTGCCTCACGGTATTCATGGAGGTTTTCAGATCCCCATATGCGCACATTATAGCGATTAACTTTTGGGGAATCCCTTTGTGGAAATACAAAGGTATTCATGGATGTTTTCAGATCCCCATATGCGCACATTATGGCAATTAACAATGCCAGAAAGATGAAAGGATGCTTCGTCGGAGCACTTCATCAGAGAACAATATGCACTTCAGAAATTCAGCATCATCTTCTATCCTCCTTAGCATATCTGGTTGCAAAGGCCATCCTCCTAGGCCTATCGTCTGGTTCCAAAACTTGAACAATTTGAATTTTGTATGCATGCAGTCTTAATTTTTTCTTAATAACCTTGTACACCGTCGAAACTGGCATATCCAATTCTCTTGCCGCTGATCTCACAGATCTTCTAGGATTGCGTAAAAATGTCTCTCTGACACGCTCAACATCAAAATCACTTGTGCAGGGACGTCCGGAACGTTTCTTATCTGCGATACTTCCAGTTTCTAGAAAACTCTTTTTTCTACCGCAAGATGCTGCTTTTGGATGGAGGATCTTTTTGGTAAATTCTTCTCCAATTTCTCTGTGTTTGCATTATGGATTTCGTTTCTATGAACCACCATAAATCTGTGCTTTCTCTTGTGGTATATGCATTCTCCTTAATATCCGGTCGAATAAAACATCACATACAAAAGTACTAGAACAAACACATGAAAAGTAAACATAACAATGCAATAGTTGCCAAAAATAAAACAGAGAAAAATGCAATTAATAAGCAGACGATATTTAGAAAAGTACAGATATTTAGAATGGAAAATGAAATTATCTGAAATTAACCACACACGCAGACGATATTTACAAAAGTAAAGATATTCAAACCTGAAAAGGAAAATATATAAGTTATTCCATCAATAAATGCCATAAGTTTGTTTATATCTTCATTATTTTATGAGTTATTAAACATCAAAAAGGGTCCGGAACTTTACAAACACCCTGTATAATTCCCTCCCGGATTTCAAACTAATGGCTACTTTTCTTAAGAATAGTTTCTTTTTTTCTTAATTTTTAAAAGTGATAATCCAAACAACTTTCTATTAAGCTGCTTAAGCTAATGTGTGATTTAATGCTTTTTTGCTAAACGGGTAGGCTGAGAAGAATTAACTTTATTCACGTTACCTTCCACAGAAACGCTGAGTGCTGCGGAATTTTGATCAAGAAACACTGTTCTAAGGTTCAAAACTTTCGGGTATTTTCGAAAAGAAGGATAATCCTCATTTCTGTTTTAAAATATCAGCTGTCGACAATTTCACTTGAGTCATTATGTGATACACTGCATATGGGGACAACCATAAATAGACCGTACCGTGCCATGAATACGTTTGGAAATGTTAGTACTCCTTCTGTAGAGAAGAACTGCGGCTCGAAATCTCGAAATAGACGACCACCATTTAAGGAATCTGAACCTCGACCTCCTTCTTCCAAAGAGTCCAATGTCAATGTCATCAGAAACTCTTTCCCCAACCCTAACTTCCATTCTTAACTTTCACCTCAGCGTTACGCTCTAAATATAAGAGAAGAATTCTAGACATCTGAGGTCCGTCAAAACTACGCCACTGAATTCTTTTTTCTCTTCCACTTCTCGTGACGGCGACGTTTAAATTAAATCAAACATGCGCCTTCTTAATGAATTTCATCATTAATTGAATGAATTTCATCAATTTTCACACCTATCACATGAAATCATTAAATGTGAAATGCTTCTGAAACGAAATGTAATTTTGAAGCCACGTGTCCACATTAAAAAAAAAAAAAAAAAAAAAAAAAAAAAAAAAAAAAAAAATCTGAAATGTTTCAGATTTTAAATTACGTCCAAAGGGGCGTTTTTTAACATTTTGTGTGTTACCTTTCTTTATTAAATATCATGTTCCTCGCACTTAAAGCATAAGATCCAGTGCAACAGCAATATCGCAAAATAGTTTTAAAACGAGCATATCTTTAGAATTTCCGATACAGAGACTCACGCGCTGGAGATAAAAATGTTTTTTCTTCACAACGTTGCCATTGCTCGCTTTGAAATCCTTGAGTTTGTTAATCAAAAATTCGTCAAAGTTTTTAAAAATAGGAAATCGATCATAAAACAAATTTCAAATTTCAAATTTGGTCTTCCACATGCTCATATTCGTTGGAAGGATTACGTTATTCAAAATTCGATGACTCTATGTACCGTTATTTTATG